GCACCGCAGATGCTGAAACGCTACTGAGTAGTGACCGGCTTAAACGCCCCCAATTTTGGCGTCTAAAGCAAGCTGGTGCAACGTTGCGATATAATTCGATATAATGACTCGTATCGTCATTTCCAATGACAGTAGTTGTGCAAACCATAAAAGAAGCAAACTCGGTTTCGAACGCTGATGTTCAGCTCAAGTATTCTATGTAGACAAGGTAAAGTGACGTGAAGCATGATTGCAGGTTATGGGCACTGGAAGAATTAAGGACATAAGTTACGAAAAGTGATAAATCGATAGAACGCCAGACTCAGCTTTGGGATCGGTAATTCATTTCATGAAGTAAATAGGGTAGAACTAATAAGAAGCAAGCGACTAAGCCGATACACCTTAATATTCATATATCTTAAGATGTTGCTTACAAGAAATAAAGCATTGCTAACTAGTGATATCGAAAAAAAATAAAAACCGCATGAAAGAAAGGAGTCACCAAAGTCCATTATGTAAACATAGCGATGGCAGAGATCAAAAAATTAATGAACATTGTTTAAAATGTGTTAGCTGTGAAATAAAAGTGATCGTTGATGTATAAGCAGTCGAATACTACGATGTTTAAAAAATTCAGCGACTCCGCGAATACAGAAAGAAAACAGAAGTCTGTAACTGCAAGATGTATTTCTTATGATATTTTTTCATGAGGAGTGTCGCATTTATATGATATCATTTTTGTCTAGTTTATGAAGTCGATACTCATTTTATTTTCGATGTAGAAGTCAGGAACAGTTTGCCTACAAAAACAATGCCTGCAACCATGGCAAGCATAGTGAGTAGTTCTCCCTCCCGTCATACGAGCTGTAACAGTTTATTCGCCCTGGTTAAAGGTTTGTAACTGGGTTGGAATTCGAATTCTTCATAGTTTGATTGCTAGTCGAGAAGTCTACTGATAAAATACCTGACCGAATTCAACAAATGCAAAGAACAGGCTACAAGAAATACCACAAACCTGATGCTCAGTGAAGACGGGCTTCTGAACTCTGCAAGAAGTAATATTTCCAAGAGGAGTCAGCCAGATGCGAAAGGCGGGTTCATAATAGGGAAAAGTTTTTACCTCTCCGTTGAATTACTCATTAACCGATAGTTTTGAAGTTTCAAATTCTGATTTAGATATGATTTTCAATTGGCTCTGAATATTCTAAATCTAAGTAAAAAGAAAGCGTAACGCTATATTAAGAAGTTACGATTCAACCGCCTGTTTTAGTCTACTTTTAATCGATTGTTCTCGTTATCAATACCATTTCAAAATTCGACAAGTCCTTTACGGGCGGAGATAGTCTGTTATAACATACAAATTCTCCAACGCTTTGGGTCAAGATCAATCAATCTTCAGGGAGAGGCATATTACAACAGTTATTAGTACCGTTTATGTAAAGTACTTCTCAATTTTTATGTACACTACAAACATCTCATGACGATCTCATTCAACAGCAATCTTTCAAATTTGAGACAATAACCGCTACCACGTAAAACATCATACCGTAATACGAAATAACTGTGACGCCACTCGTCGGTCTTCGATGACCATCGTCTCGTCGGCCAAACAGTTCGGATATAGATGTAGCCCGATTCTACCACTGTCGCCACTTGACCATCATCACCACAGTATTCGTTATCCACGCCTTCATCCCAATACACCAACGAATAATGCGAAAACACCGTCGGTGAGGAAACGGCCTTTAAATAACCGTACAGCGAACGATCAGGAACAAACAGCGTGACATGGCGCCACTACGCTTACAGAACCCAGCTCCCTGCTGATCCATTTACATATGGATACTCGCTGCGTAGCTGCATCGTTTAAAACAACGATCCCATTGTTTATGTTACTACAAGATTTTTCCAAACTGGACAAGATCGCGCTAAAAGGGGAATAATAGTTAACAAAGTACAAAATTCTTACTTTTGCAAAATTTCACATTCAAAAA